AAGTTTATGTTTCTTTGCTTTGATATATTTTTTCAATGCAGAACAACTTGAAAAGAAAATAAAAATAAGAAGAAGAAGAATAAAGGAAAAAATCTACAAAACAATGATGATTCTTATTTGGTAATCATTTCATTGATTCTAGATAGTAGTTTCGTTTTTTTCTTGTAAACATGATTGAAGAAACTTGGGATGATGATGATACACCTAAACCATCATTTCAACAGGTTTGTTTTGTAAAAAATAAAAAAGAATCCCGAGATAAATAGTGATGAAGTTTTTTGTTTTGTTTTTTACATAGCAACCAACAGTACAAAAATTAGGCATTGGACGTGGTAAATTATCATTTCCAGCAAATAATAATACTGGTATACAATATATCTGGTAAATTTTCATCGATTTATTAGTTACTGGAAAGCAAATAACTAGAATCAAAGTTTTTAGCTCTGTGTAGTTATATATTGGAAATTTTTTCTTAGAATAAAGTTTGGTTATTGAGACTTGAGCCCGTTAGACCTAGGTCTGTGATTAATATAACGGACTCTATTAGTTTCTCGTTAGTTGGAAAATGTATGGATTTGATTCTTTCGACAAAGAATAAGCATTAGAGAAAAATCTTGATATTTTATTAAGTTTAGTCAAAGAGCTTCTGAGATCGAGGAAATTTAACTGAGAAACCAATGACAGATTCACATTCTTCGATCAAATTTTATGAAAGAAATTTGAACTGCTCAGAATCCAGAACATGAGTAGAAATATCTTTTAACACCTTTTAATTTAGTGTTTTATACAGACGTTAATTTCAGCTAGCAAAAGAAAAATTTCTGAACATGAAGTTCTCGCTGGTCACTTCTGAGTCTTTCGATTGTTTCTATCAAATAATTAATTACATATGATAAAGAAAGAATTTCATAATTGTTTTATTTAGAACCAGCAGCACCAGTTTCTAAATGGAATGGTGGTGGTACAAGTAATACATCAGGTGGTTTTAACAATTTTCGTAATAATAATAATGAAAATAATAAACCGAATACTGATGGAAATTTTGGTTCTCGAAATACTGGCAATAGTTTTGGAGGTAAATTCTATTGAATTCATTTTTTTATTTCTTTCATTTGAAATAACTATCAAATCAATAGCTCGTAATGGATCAAGTGGATTCAATAGTGGTACAAGTGGAGCATTTCGAAGTAGTAATGATGGAAATTCTCGTGGTTAGTTTCATATAAATATTTAAAATTTTTTTTATTTCGTTTTGTTCTTCTGTTTTTTTTAAAGCATGTTATAATTGTAATGAAACTGGTCATATGAGTAGAGATTGTCCAGAACCAAAAAAAGATAATCGTAGTAATCGTGGTGGTTTTAATTCAGGTATAGGTGATCGTAAAACTAGTTTTCGATCATCAGATAATACTGGAAATACATTTCGTAATATGAGAAATCAAAATAATAATGATGAAAATGATAATAATAATACAAAGCCAACTTTTACTGGATGGCGAGGTGGAGCAGCAAATAATAATAATAATAATGAATCTGATGATACTGCTAAACGTACAACATTTGGTAGTTCAAATACACGTGGTGGTTTTACTAATAGTGGTGGTGCATTTCGAGGTAATCAAAATATTTTATTAATCCTATGAAAAAAAGAAAAGTTTGTTTTTTTATAGGTGGTCGAGGAGGATCTGGTGGTGGTGATCGAGGAGGATTTAGTGGGGGTAATCGAGGTAAATGATATTTTTTTTTGTTTCTTTCAAGATTAAGTAAGTTTTGTTTTTTTTAGATAATCGTAATAATGGAAGTAAGTTTAATTGTCTTTATTCAAATGATAATTGATATTGTATATTGTTTTTTTTCTTCTTCTTCGTGTTTAGATTGTTTCAATTGGTGAGAGTTTATTTATATTTGAAATTCCTATAATTTTATTTTTATTCTTTTCTTCTATGAATATTTTTTATAGTAATCAACCAGGTCATCAATCTCGTGATTGTCCTGAACCGAAGAAACCTCGTGGTATGTTTTTGTAAATAAGTAAAAGTTTTTGTCTATGATTAAATTTTTGTAGAAGGTAGTGGAAATGCTTTTTTTGGTGGTGGACGAAAAAATGATAAAGTAGATTTTAGTTTTTGATTTTTACAAAATAAATTTTTATGTTTTATTTAGGTATCGGATGACATTTTCGATCAACGTAAGTATATAAAAACTTCAAAAAAAAACAAAGTAGATTATCAGAATTCGAGTATAGTAAAATTAGTAGTAGAATATCTTAAAGAAACTTTCTTTCAAAATGATTTCACATAGTAAAAAAAATAATGTTCTAAATAGTTGTCCAACTAATTCATATTCAGTTCAGTTTACTTATCAGATGTTTGGTTATATTTTTAAATATGAATTATATTTATCTTAGCTGGTGGTCGTGGTGGTGCACAACCTGTAGAACGATATATTCCACCACCTCCACCAACAACTGAAGCTGATATATTTGGTGAAGCAGTTAGTAAAGGTGAAAATTTTGGTAAATATCATCGAACACAAGTACGTTGTTCACCTGAAGGTAAAGCAATAAAAATAAATTTTCTTTCTCTTTTCTTTTTTGTTACTGTTCTATTATTTAAGATAAAGTAAAACCAATTGAATTATATGAAGAAGCAAATCTTGGTACACAAATATTATCAAATATTCGTCGTGCTCATTTTGATGAACCAACAACTATTCAACGATATGCTATACCTTGTATTCGACAACAAGATGATTTAATGGCATGTGCTCAAACTGGTTCGGGTAAAACGGTAATATAAATAAAATTTAAATTTTTTTTTTTTTTTTTCTATTTTGAATACTTTTTGAATTTTTTTATATAGGCTGCTTTTCTTTTGCCAATTATTTCAAATTTACTTGAATATCATGCAAATGAATTACCGGAAAAACATCATCCACCATCACCTCTTTGTCTTGTTATTTCACCAACACGTGAACTTGCTTTACAAACTGAACGTGAAGCAAGAAAATTTGCTTATCAAACTCCTATTATACCATGTAAATTATCAAGCAAAAAAAAAATTATCTAATAGAATATATATCTATTTTTTTTCAATAGGTTCTGCTGTTGGTGGTCATGATATGTTTACTGTTACAGATCGTCTTCGTGAAGGTTGTCATATATTATCAGCAACTACGGGTCGTCTTAAAGATATGGTTGAAAAAGGCCGAGTAAAATCTAATTAAATTTTTTTTTTGTTGTTAAATTTAAATTATATATTTTAGATTTCATTAAGAAAAGTTAAATATTTTGTTCTTGATGAAGCCGATCGGTATATCTATAATAATTTACTTTTCGAGGTTTTATTTATTTATTTTTCTTCATTTGTAAAGAATGTTAGATACTGGTTTTGAACCTGACATTCGTAAATTAGAAGATCTTGGTTTACCACAAAAAGATGAACGTATAACATCAATGTTTTCAGCAACATTTCCTGATGAAGTTCAAAGACTTGCTAAACATTTTCTACGTGAAAATTATGTTTTTCTTGCTGTTGGTATACTTGGTGGTGCAAATGAAGATATTGCACAAACTATTGAACCTGTATCACAAGCTAGCAAAAAAGATCGACTTTTTCAATTACTCGAAGATAATCTTAGTATGAAAATAATAAAAAGAAATATTGTCTTGTGGAATTCACATCATGTTTTCCGAAAAAAAAAAAAAAACTTAGACAATGGAAGTTTTAAGAATTCTCCATCAAAAATTATCGAATAGCTCTTATCAGATTTGAATATATTTAGTCGAAGAAACGTTTTATCTTTGAAAGCTAAAGAAAAACGTATGTGAATTTCACATTTTTGGGTTTTGTACTAAGAAGATTTATATGAAATTTATATTTTTTTTTTGTTAAGAATCTGAACGTTGTTTAATATTTGTTGAAACAAAACGATCAGCTGATTATATTGGTGCTTTATTATCACAACGAAATTTTATGAGTACAACAATGCATGGTGATCGAACACAACGACAACGTTTAGAAGCTGTACAACAATTTACAAATGGAAAATGTCCTATACTTGTTGCAACATCAGTTGCTGCACGTGGTTTAGATTTTCCATTAATTGGTTATGTAATAAATTATGATTTACCTGATACAAGTGATTTTTATATTCATCGTATTGGTCGAACAGGTATTATTTATTATGAATTGATATTTAATTTTTTTTTTGTTTTCTTAAGGTCGTGCTGGTCATTTGGGTAAATCAATTTCATTTTTTGATCCTGATCGAGAATCTGATCGAAATATTGCACCTGATCTTATACAAAAATTAAGCGAAGTAAAATATCATATTTTATTGTTAAAAAAAACAATAACATATCTGAAATTATTTTAGGCTGGTCAAGAAGTACCTGAATTTCTTAGAAAATATAGTGGAAGTATTCAAGATTTTAATCGTGATAGTTTTGGAACAAAAAATACAGATGTAAATTCGATCAATAAATAATTTTTATCATGTTTCAAAGTTTTTATTTTTGTTTAGATGCGTTCCGGTGGATTTGCTCATAGTCAAACAGCTGCTACCAGTGGTGGTACAGCATCGGCTGGTGCAACAGAAGATTGGGATTAATAGATAACAATACTGGTGATATGATTATCTAGACTATTTAGTTTTTTATTATAAAAGTTTATTCGTTCTTTGTTATTTTGTTTTTTTTTTTGCTGTATATAGTCATCAATTCAAGCGATGTCCATATATGGAGTCAGATATGTTGTTAGTTTTTTTTTCCTTTGTTAGTCATGAGAAACTAGATGAACATGTCAGATGATATTTTTTTTTTGCAAACAAAAATATACAGATATTGAAAGAAAAGAAGTAGGGATAAAAATGCTTTTTCTTATTTTAGATTGTAAATTTTAATATTTTTTTCTCTTGTCATGATCATAATTTGGTTTTAGGATATAAAAACAAAAGATTTATTTGTTTTTTTTTTTTTTGTTTTCTATCTAAGACGAACAATGGACAGAGATGATGATCCATGTAAATTATTTGTTGGGTAAATATGACTTTTTTTTTCAACTAATGAAAAGTTTTCTATATGGACTTATTTTGGGTGAAGAATAAAAATATTTAGAATAATGAATCCTCAGAAGGTTTATAACTCATTGCAAATGCCAATCAAAGGTAGCGATGATCATCAGTGGACTGGTCTTAGATAGTCTAGAAATGCATCTATAGAATACGGCCGAGGACGATTATTTTAGATTCATTTTGATTTCTGCAGTCGGGAAGAGTCTATTTAGAGAAAATAGTTGAATTGTAAAAAAAAGAAGCATGCCTAAACTGTGCGAACGAAGCCTTTAAATCGATACGAATTTAAGACTACCGTAGTTTTATTGTTCATGCACAATCTTCATTCTTAGTCTATACATATATATTAGATTAACTGTAATATATATTGTTATAATAGAGGTTTAACACGATCAACAACAACTGAAATGCTTCATCAATATTTTCAAACATTTGGTGAATTAACCGATTGTATTGTTATAAAAAATCCTACAACAAAACTTTCTCGTTGTTTTGGTTTTGTACAATTTACAACACCTCAAATAGCTGATCATGTTGTTGAATCTCGTCCTCATATTATTGATGGTAAAGAAATTGATGTTAAACATGCATCAGCTGAAAGTCATGAACGACATCAACAACAACTTGCTGCGGCTGCTGCCGCCGCCGCCGCTGCTGCAGCTGCAAGTGGACATGAACGAAATCGTGAAACATCACCAGATAGACAAAAAAAACGTTCAAGATGGGAAAAACAACAACAACAACAATTATTAGATTCACATCGAAATTTTACATTACCACATGATATGATTACATTAAAATCAAATACTCATATAGCATTTATTCAACGTGATATGATTACTTATCCTGTACCATTAAAATATTTACGAGAAGATACTTTTCAACAACAACAATATAATTCACCTCCGAATGATAATTCATATTATCCACAACAATCTCGTCAGCAACATAGTAATAATTTTAATAATAGAATATATCAAACTTAAAAACTATGTTTTATATCTTAATTTTTTTTGTTGTTTTTCTTGTGTTATACAGAGTCAAAAGAGATAAAAAAAAGAAACGATAGATATATTTGTTTATTTCGTTTTTCCATCTTCGCCAGGTGCACGAATACTTTTATCATATTTTTTTGGTTTAAATTTAAAATATTCTTCAGCATATGCTGAAATTTCAGATTTAACCATTGGAAAATTGAGACGAATATCAGAACGATTAACTTTTAACTAAATGAAATACAAAATGTAGTTTTAAGATAAATATTAAGAACAAAAAATATACTAATGGTTCATGAAACCATCCAATTTCTTGACTTGTTGTTTGTGGTTTTTGATATTTTTTTTCTGGTTCAAGATTTGCTCGATGTATAATATCAATAAATGATGCTAAAATAATAATAATTAATATTCTAGAAACAAAATTTTAAAGCTTTTGTTTTTTTTTGCTTACTATCTTCGCCTGCATTTTCATCTGGATAAACATTTGGTTTAGGTGTTAATGCTTCAGCTAAAATAAGAAATGTTAATGGAAATCAATATTATTAGATTGTATATATTACATTTTTTGAATGGATTAACAGAATAATTTGTAAAAAGTTTTTGTTGAGCTAATTCTTTACGAATTGTTTCAACAAGAATTGCTTCTTGATGAACTTGATTTTTAGGTTCTCGACCCTTTTTTCCTTCTTTACCACCAGCTTCAGCCTTAGTAGCAAAAAAAAAACAATTATGATAATGAGTAAAGAAAAAAAAATTATTTAATGTACCATGAAAACAAGAAACTAAAATTACAAGCAACTAAAATAAAAATTATTTTAGTAATAATATATGTAATGTTTTTATCTTTCTGGATGTCATTGTAAAAGAATCGTTGCTGCGAAACGACCTCCAATAAAAAGAATGAAACGATAGATAGAGACACATTGGGATTTGCAGGTGTAAGTATGGATTTTCTTGCCAGTAACGCCCCTACTATCGTATAATGATGTTGTTTTGTAGTCTATAAACATTTTCTTTGGTTATTTCTCTTGAATTCAAAGAATAGCTAACAATAATATGTAGTTCCCGTTGGGTTAAGTCTTTTATTTTATAGTTCGAAGTCCAGGACGAGATATAGTCCCGCACATATCAGTTTATGACATTTTTGTTGTATGGCTTCAAGTCGAGTTTGAGCGTGGGCTTGAAAAAAGAAAATAGTGACAACATCCACACTTTACTTCAACTAACAAATCCTGTATATGTGTATTTACAAGACCAAGAAGAAAGAGAATGGCGAAGATAATAAATAAATAGTAGATATACCTACATGTGAGATCACTGTAACCGCAGAATTGTATTTATATAAAAGTTCGTGACACCTCCTGTCTACATTTATATCCATATCCTCATAATATCAAATAAGAAACGAACTACACTCATAGAAATACGTAGAATAGATGCTTCATTTCCCTTACTCAACTATACGCTAAGCTACTAAGTGTTCAACAGTACTTTTGACCGTATAATGATCTCTAGCCAATCTGGTGTGTCCCATCTATTATTTAGATTAATATTCTTGTTGTTTTTCTTTATTTCCAATTAAAATATCGATTAGTAAAACATCAAATTTCGAGAGAAAACTCTTTCATAATCATTCTCTTTTTGTATCGTCACTGCTTTTACCGATAATAACGAGAACTCTTTGATTGATATTCTATATCAATGTTTGCATGGCATGATTTCGGAATGAATTTATTCATCATGTCATTTCTTACTAGTTTATGAAGGTTTCACTGCGTATTTGAATCTTACTCAGAGGAGAAGAGTTTC